GGGACTCGCTTGAGCTCAGGAGTTGGAGGTTGCTGTGAGCTGTGATGCCACAGCACTCTACCCAGGGGGATAGCTTGAGGCTCTGTCTCCAAAAAAAAAAAAGAATATAGGTTTAAAAGGCATACTTGGATTTGCAATTCTGCCATTTACTAACTATATGTATGACCTCAGGCAAGTGACTAAACTCTGAACTTCGGCTTCCTACTCTGTCAACTGTCACTGGTGATCCCCTGCTCAGTCATCTGAGCATTAAATAATTCCATTTCCCCATTCCCATTAAGCTCTCTCTTTCCTTAGAGCTTTTGAATAGATGTCTTCTCTACCTGTAATATTTTGCTTTCCTCTGTCATTTGTTGAATTATCTATTTTTCATGTCTCGGCTCCCTGCAGACTAGGTTAGGACACCCAAGTAGATGCTTGCATAATTATTTTTCTTTCAGAGCATTTATCATGTTAGTTATCAAACTTCCGTGTGATCATTTCATCAGCAAGTCTCAGGCCCAGGCTGTGAGCTCTTTGAGGGACAACCCTGGTCCCTAGCAGTGCTGTAAATAAGGGATGAGGTTTAGACATTCAGCAGTCCTTGAGCACTTTGAAGATATCCTGCCTGCCCTGGGACGCCTCGGGCAGTTGGAGAGCTCCCCCAAGATCAAGGACTGAAGGGTTGGATCTGGGGTCCTTTCCAAACTCAGATGCTCTGTCAGGCTCAATTACAGGGGTCAGGGCGAACAACTCTGGGGAAGCCCGACGCTCTGCAAGGCCGCGCCCTACGCGGCCAGAGGAGAATATGACCAATAGGACCCAGCGGGCATTCGGGTAGCTCTGGAATTTAAGGCTATAGATGGGAAAAGCGTAGTCGCAGGGAAGCAGAAGGCACCGGGTTAAATCAAGCGGGTGGGGCGGAGGAACACGGAGAGAATCTAGTAGCCAATGGGAGGTGGGGAAGGTGAGGCGGGTCAGAGGAAGGTCGAAACAGCCTGAGGAGGTAAACCTTTAAGTTGAACTAGCAAATAGAAGTGAGTAAGCTGTGGATTGGCGTATTTTGAAGCCAATCGGAATAAAGAAGAGGTAGGCGTGACTGGAATGCACCAGGGAGTCATCCGGCCAATCAGAGCAGGCCAGCAGAGGACAGGCGGGTCAATCGGCTAATTGGAAACAAGGACTGCGGAAGGCCGGGGCAGTGAGAAGAGGCGGGGGTTGGGGTTAGGCTTCAGGTAGCCAATCATCGTCCGCTAGGAACAGCGGGCGGGTCGGTAGCCCTTTTAGGGACTCTTGAGGGTCTCTTAAGGGGCGTGTGAAGGGTCTCTCAGGGTGGAAGAGGCAGCATCGTCCAAAAAGGGAAGAATGCGGTCCTGAAAACCGGGCGAAGAAAGGCAGTTGTGAATTTGGGATCCTCACCTCGGGCCTTGCGCCGAGTCTCCTGGTCACCGAGGCTGGGTGGCTTCTCCATGGAGCTCAGGATGGAGCCCAGTAGGTCCGCCATCTTGGGAGTGACTGAGAGGGGGGCGGTGCGTTTTAAAGGGAAGGGCGAAATGCCTTTAAGGCCGGAAACACGTCGGAGGCGGAAAACTACTTGCCCGCCCGGCCCGGGCGTGGATCCGAGGTCCGCCGCGCGTGGGCACCTCCCGCTGGCAGAGGCCCCGCCCCGCCCCCGGTAGACAGACGCCAGAGGCTGGCTGGTGCAGCGATGTTTAATGGCAATTCGTATAAACAAGCCCATGCACAAGTAGAAAGTGCTCGTGGAGCCGGCTGGAGGCCCCCGCCGCGCCAGGGAACCGCAAGCCCGGCCGTGCAGCCCTCCCCGCGGCCTTAAATAGATTCTTCACTATACTCTGTATGTTACAGTATGTACAGGCCCCCTCCTTTCGGGGGACAGGGACAGGACTCCGCAACGCTTTCTTATGTACAACCCCTCCCCTTTGGCCCCGGAGTTTGGTGGCCAGAGTCGGGGTGATGGGGGAAGACAGGGCCAGAAAGGGAGGAAACGGACGGAAACATGCGGAGTCGGGGTAGGGGCACGGTCAGCCCTGAAACAGGAGGGGCGCGCGCAGCGAAGGCAGAGATTAGGACCGAGGCAGATACATTCAGAGACGCGTCGAACAAATAAATAAGGCAAGTCAGGAAGGGGCCCGATCGGGTGCAGGCAGGAGGGAGCTGAGAAGGGGCAGGCAGGGCTCTGTAGATTATGGCCGAAGATGCAGGTGTGGGGGACATGGGTCTCTGGGGCCAGGGACCAAAAGGGGAGGGGAACGACCAGGAGGAAAGAGGAGCAAAGTGTGGGAGCAGGGATGGGGAAGAAAGTGGGGGCATATGAGGGCTCCAACAAAGGTGAAAAGGAAAGCTGCCAAACAGGGCTTCCCCCTGCCCCAGAAAGCCTTTTCCCTGTTAAGACTGCAAGAAGCGCCCCAGGGTGGTGAGAAAGGCAGTGGAGCGGTCAGGTGGCCAGTCCTGGCTGGGGAAGCCCTTCTAGCTCCTGGTTCTGCTTCAATTCTCTCATCCTGCCGAAAGACAAGGAAGGAGTCAGAGGGGACTGGTGGATCAGGGGAGGTGGCAGGGTGAAGACTTGGGGAGAGAAGCCACGAGTACCTGTGTCGGCAGCGCCGCAGGAATCTCATGATCTTCCGAGCTGCCTGGTCCTGCTTCTTGGTGAGAAAGGAACCTCTGGTGGAAGAAAGATAAGATGGATTTCACAGTGTACTCAGGCACCCTATGCACTTAGCTCCTCCCCTTTTGGTCCCTGGCTCCAGAGACCCATGTCCCCCACACCTGCATCTTCGGCCATAATCTACAGAGGAGGGAAAGGTTGGGGGCAATGGGTACAGAACACAGTGGGCTGGGGCATACTTGTTGCGGGCAGGCAGGGTGCCAGAGGGCCGGTGGGGAGGCCCAGGCCTGCGGCGGTAGGAGCGGTAGTGCTGCTGAATAAGCACAGCTGCTCTACGGCTCTGCTGAAATCGCTTCTGCTCATAGTAGCTTCGGAACTTGCTCTGAATCAGGATGGCTGCCTGGGTCATCTTCTTATAGAGCGCAAACTGCACAGGTGGGGAGGAAAGACTGAGGCTGAAATGGAGGGACAGAGACCCTAACCCCTAAGGGTCACTGCAAGTTAGGCTAATGCAGATCTTTCTCTTAACCCACACACTCATGGAAAAGCTGAATCATCACAGACAACATCACACCCAGATCTCATGCCTAATACCTTAAGTGCAATCCAGGTCAGCTTGTGGAAAGAGAAGGGGAGTTAGGGCTCTGGTAACATGCTAGATGTGCTAGGCTAGAATGGGAGTGTGTGTCTGTGTGTGGACTGGTGGGTATGCTTTTGAAGAAGGATCTTACCTGCTTGTACTTCCGATAACAGCGCTGGATTACAGCTGCTGCTACTTCCTGTTGCTCCTTCAGCCGCCGACCCTGTGGAGAGAAAGAGGTCTCAGCACTTCAAGGGCTATCTGGTGGACAACTCATCTGTCCCTCCAATTTTCCTGGGGTTCCCTGACCCTTTACCTCATTTAAGACTTGTCTGGATGACTGGTCTTCCTCTAAAAATCCTGGACAACCAGTTTTCCCTGACCCAAGATTGTGTTATTCATCCTGTGACCCTTGGCCCCCTGACCTTGTACTTTCGGAAGGCTGTCTGGATGACTCGGGCTGCCTCGTACAGTTCCCGCTGTTCATGATCTGATAGTGTCAGCAGAGCAAAATCACTTTCCATCTTGCCACTGGTAGATGCAGAGAGAAACTCTGCCCAGGAAGGTGCTGGGGGAATGGCCAGACGACTTCGCTCAAAAGGCATTTCACTGTGGGGATAGGGAGAAGGGATGTCATGGGGCATATGATTACCCCAGCAACTGAGTCTGGAGTGAGTGGCTTCAGAGTTCATCAGCCAATCCAATTCCCTTCTCAAAGGCTCTACGACCTCAGCCAGAATGGAGCTTTGGCTGTGGGAAAGCCAGCTTTCTCCCTTCCCATCTTTGAAGAACCGTCTGGAGACTTTGTTCTGAGCTGGTCACCTGGGAGGGGTGGAGCTGGGGAAATGGTCCACATTCTCCAAGTAGCTGGCCAGCCAGGACATGGTCTCGTTGAGCCCCACGGCCCCTGTCCGTTCCTGCATTGAGGTTCTGGCCTCAGGCAGCCCCACAAAGTCCTCTCGTTTAATCCGCTCTGGTGTGGCTTCGATGATCTGTTTGGCCAGGGAGATCATGTCCACCTGGATGATGGGAGAAGCTGAGTGAGGCTGTAGAGGCCCCAACAGCCAGATGTTTTTGCCTTGCTAAAGCTGTAACCTCAGTCCACTCCTACCTAGGTCCTTCTCTCACTGCCACGTGCTGAGGCTTCAAGATTTGCTTGCCCTGCTCATTCTGTCTTTTTTTGGTTTCTATTGCAGACTCATTTATAATTATTGGGCTCCTACTTGCATATAACACTCTTGTGCTAAGATGTGGAGAATGTAAGGACATACTCCAAATGGAGATTCAGAAGCTGAGTAAATGGAGGACTTGATGTCCTTTTCAGACTGACCACCCACCATCCTACCTGGGTCTGTACCTCATGGCTCCCATCCATATCACCACCTTCAGCTCTCCAAGAACCAGCTCAGTGTTTGCCAACCACATGATACCCTATTGAATGGCTCCAACCTGGCCTTCCATCCATCCCTGAAGCCTGTAGTACTTCCCACAGGCCACACAGTGCAGTCTACCTTATAGGGTTCTCTAGGTTTTTTGTACTTTTAGTGCTACCTAATTACTCCATTAGCCTCTCTAAAGCAGATATTTTCCAGGGTTCTAGCACAGAAGTATGAAGCTACACTTAAAGATTCACTCTTAGTCTTTCATTCAATAAGACCTTTGCTTTCACCATATGCCAAACTTTCCACTGCCAGATCCCTGCCATCTTGCCAACCTCACTATTCCACACACCTCCCAGCTGCCCTCCATCACCCTGGTTCCCTAAAAACTCTTTCTCTTCATAGATCAACAGGAAACTCCTATAATCCAGCTCTAACTGAAAGATTCCCTAGTTTTTTTTTTTTTTTTTAGAGAGATAGTCTTACTTTTTCACCCTTGGTAGAGTTTGTGGCGTCACAGGTCATGGCAATCTCCAGCTCTTGGGCTTAGGTGATTCTCTTGCCTCAGCCTCCGGAGTAGCTGGGACTACAGGTGCCTGCCACAATGCCCGGCTATTTTTTTGTTGCAGTTTGTACCTATCACCTTCAGTATATGGGGCCAGTGCCCTACTCACTGAGCCATAGGTGCTGCCTCCCAGGTTTTTTTTGTTGTTTGTTTTTTGATATAGAGTTTCACTAGGTCGCCCTCAATAGTGTGCCATACAGCAACCTCAAACTCTTGGGCTTAAGTGATTCTCCTGCCTCAGCCCCCGCCCCAGATAGCTGGGACTACAGGCACCCACCACAACACCCAGCTATTTTTTGTTGCTATTGTCATTCAGCTGGCCTCTGCCGGGTTTGAACCTGCCAGCCTCAGTGCATGTGGCTGGTGCTATAACCACCTTCAGGTGCTGAGCCCAGTTTTTTTTTTTGAGACAGAGTTTCACTGTGTTGCCCTTGGTAAAGTGCCATGGCGTCACAGCTCACAGCAACCTCAAACTCTTGGGCTTAAGCGATTCTCTTGCCTCAGCCTCCCAAGTAGCTGGGGCTACAGGCGCCTGCCACAACTCCTGGCTATTTTTTTGGTATTGTCACTGTTTAGTAGGTCCTGGCCAGGCTCAAACCAACCAGCCCTGGTGCATGTGGCCAGTACCCTAACTATTGAGCTATGGTGCCAAGCCATTCCCCAGATTTTTTAACCTCTGTTGATTGATGACTTCTGAGTCACAAAATCTGAAAGGAGCTAAGCAAACGGTTACTCTGTCTGTCCTCAAATGAAGGTAAATTGCCCCTTCTTCCCAGTTGAATCCAGACTCTGTGTTTCATGGAATGGTCTGCCTTGCCCTACCTCGGCACCTAGTTCCATTCTAGCACTCATAATTTCCTCAATATGAGCAGTACCGAGATCACATCCACAGCCTGTGAGCTGTCAGCATCCTCTGGAGCAGCCTCATCATCTGGGGCTGGTGGGAGGGCAGGAGGGGAGGCTGGGGGCCCACTGGGGTTGGTGGCCTCATAGTCCATGAAGAGTAGAGGGGCCTCTGGGGCACCAGAGGAGAGCTGGCCTGGGACCATCTCCATAGTAATCTCAGAGAAAGGCAGAGGAGCAGGGGGAGGACTGCCATCCGGGGCACTAGAATAGGCTGATGTGATAGAGAAAGTGCCATCCGACAGCTCTGAGGGTGAGGAGACGCTGCTCAGACCTGTGTGGTGAGGAAAGAGGGTCAGAGCAGCAGGAGCCAGCAGCCACCCGGTGTCCTGCCTCTCCTATCCTTGTTCTCAGCTTCCCTGTCTGTTTTTGTTCCTGTTACCTCCCCATCCGTATCTATTCCTCAGTGTGCCGCTTCTCTTTCTGTCTCCACTCTTGGCATTACCCTGGCCTATCCATCAACCCATATCCCTTTCTGTGGGGGCAGCCCTCACCAGTGTCTGGGCTGGAGGAGGGTGGCGATAGGGCAAGTGGGGGCTCAAGTGAAGCTTCCTGTCTCTGTAGTTCCTCAAGGCAGCGGGCAAGGCGCACATGACCGCGGGAATGAGCCACAGACAGGGGTAGCCGGCCCAGAGAATCTGGAATACTCAGTGCCTGTCGGTTCCAGCGGAAAAGGAGCACAGCAGCTTCCAGGTGTCCTAGGGCACAAGCCCACATCTGAGGAGAGGGACAGGATGGGGGAGGAGGGTGCAGGTGAGGCCCAGGTGGCCAGGTCTTCACGCCTAGCCCACCCTACTCCCTGCATCCAAATGATCTTCCCTTGGAAGCACCATTTCTGTTGCCCATTGCCCCATATGCACTCAAGATTCCAGCGCTCTCACCAGAGGAGTGCAAGAGAAGTGATCCACGTTGAGTGGGTCAACCTCTTGCTCTAAGTCCAAGCTTCCAGTCTCCACGCTCCTGGAGAATTTGGGAGAGGGACAGGGAAGCCCAGTCAAGGAAAAAGCAGGCAAAGTAATAAGTGAAAGGACTGAGAAGTGAATGGAATGGAAGCATTAGGGCCAGTGGGATGAGGCAGAGACTAATCACCTGAAGAAAGTCAAGAAGTCAGTGTCACAAGTCAGGATGTTTTTTTTTTTTTT